TGGGCAACTCTACTTCTATGTCTAATGGACCATTCTCAACATGGGCTCGACAAGATAAGCATTCATTCTCCATATTCCTACCAGCCCCGCACAACCCTGTCATTCTCCAGTTTTCTCAATCTTAGTAAAATGCACTATTTACCCAGTTATGGAGGCCCCAGACCTGGAAGCTATCTTTAAGACCTCTATGTTCCTCCTGTACATATGTGCAAACTTGTCAGCTCTACTTTGAAAAGAGCACTGAACATGATCACTTCTCACCACCTCCACTTGTTTCACCTGAGTGAAGGCATCAAGACCGCCCTCCCCTTGACTTCTCCAACAGCCTCCTAACTGATCTCCCGGCTCCCACTCTCACTCCAAACAGTTCTCTCTCCACCCAGTGATCTTTTCAAATATGAGACCAGCCACTCACCTGCTAAAAGTCCCTCCAATAGAACGGCTTCCCATCATAATTGGAATGATATGCAAATTCTACTTTGGTCTCACAAATGCACAGTACCCTGACCTCATCTGTCTCTTCAGCCTTTGTTTCAACTTGTCTTCCCCCGCATTCTCTGTAGTTCAGCCTCACTGGCCTCTTTGTTCAGCCTTGAACAGGTCAGGTTCTTTCCAATTTCTGCACTGGCTGTTAGCTCTGCCCCAAAAGCTCTTCCTCCAGACTTTGCCAGACTTGCTCCTCACTTCAATCAGGTGTGTGCTCAAGCATCACCGCTTCAGAGAGGACTTCCCTGACCTCCCAGACAACCCCCACGTTGTCCTGCTGCTCCCTAGCCTCTTATTCTGTTCACATTTTAAACAGCACATATTAATCCTGAATTCTTTTTTAATATTAAATGAACTTCCTTATCTTCATTTTTAATCAATACGTATTTTAAAATATTAACTTAAAATTATGTTGTATCTACTTGAATAAGAGGAATTGTAGCATCAATTAAATAACAGTAGCTACACAAAAGTGAAATCATCAAAATAGCCTTAAAGAGAAAACAATATAGATATTCGGAGTGGTTGTGGATGTCCAGGACCCAGCTGCTGTGGAGACTGAGGCAAACCTGCAGGTGACCCTGGATTCTTGAGGTCTTACTGCAATACCCTCCTCCTTCGTGGGTGGCCTAATGACCCATGGGATCCCCTGACTCTTCTGGGTCTCTGTGGGCTGTGTGTGGAGCAACAGGGCCACTTGGGAAAGGCTGAACCTTGGACTTGACCTTGGCCAGCATTTGCCTGTTGCGATCATTTTCTTTCCTCACCTCCATGAAGTTTCTCTCAACCCACATGGCTGTGTTCCAGCTTTCTTCAGCCCTTTTGCATAGAAGACCATCTTTCTTCCCTTGGTAGGAAGTGCTTTTCTCCAGTTCCTTGCCCAGGTCTTCTGCCATCTTCCTGTAGGTTGCAAATCTGATATGCGGAGTCCATGCATCTACAGACACGTTGAGAAGCGTCTTGTCCATTTCTAAGCAGCTCATTTCCTCCTCTTTTTTTTCTGAAGTTGTGTTAAGTGATCTTCATATGACTGACTCGGGCAGAATTTGAAGCTTCAGCTTCTGATGCTGAGTCTCTCTTTCTAGGTTTGAATTTTCATGCTGCACAGAAGCTTCCTCAAATTGGAGATTGGTTATCTGTCCTGGAGCTCTTCATTCACTTGCTTTTCTTCCAATTGCCTGGCTATTTTGTGTTCTTCCTCGTCGAGACTTTGAAGGGACACATTGAAGACGGCATTACCGGGGACACCCTGCAGATCAACTTGCGACCAAAGAACAGGGTGATCATGGTTTTCCACTTCCCTGTTTTGTTGGACCTGCCATTTCATGTGACTTAGGCGACCTCTAAGGAAATCAGGCAAAGGGACGGCCTGTGGCAGTTTTTCAGCCTCTGATATTAATTGGCTGATTTTATCCTTCAGAACCTGCTCTGTTTCTGTGTTTGGCTGCCCCAGCCTGTCTTTCTCCTGCTCCTTTTACTGGACTCACTAACTCCACCTCATATTGGTGGAGCAGTTGTGGACTTTCTGAAAAATGGATGTTTTCATTAAATAAGTTTTTATTTTCTTCCGAAGTTGCTCTCCATGGATTTCTGATGCTTTTGAGGTGGCTTTTCAGGTCAGCTGGGAAAGTTTAGGAGACTGGCTCTTCCATGCATTTGCAGAGTGGACCTTGTCTTGAAGTGACAACCTGCTCAGGTCTGTGTTCAGTGCTAAGGAGCACAAGGCCTGGCCTCCATGCAGGCAGCCTGAGGGAGTCCTGGGCTCGTGTCATGGGTTCAATATTCTCACGACGTCTCCCACAGACTTCATCGGAGCAGAACACCTTTAGCCTAGTCCCCTCACATTCCTGAAGTGTGCCATCTCCTTACGACCAAAGACACCTGCACACAGCTCAGACTGGGATCTCCCCAGGAAAGAAACGGAGCTGCTTAGAAATGGACAAGACACTTCTCAATGTGTCTGTAGATACATGGACTCCACATATCAGATTTGCAACCTACAGGAAGATGGCAGAAGACCTGGGCAAGGAACTGGAGAAAAGCACTTCCATGTCTCCAGCTCTCAGAAGTCTCCAGCAGAGCATCGCACAGAAGCTCCAGGACCCTCTGGGAGGTGGATGCGGAGGCAGACAGCAGGTCTCCGGGGCTAGTAGGGCTCACAGCTCTGCCTCCAAGTGCCAGTGTCTTATGGGCCACAATTGGCCACTCAGAACCCTCCAAGAGTTCTGTCACTAAGGTAAACAGATACCCAGCAACCCGGGAAGACCAGTTGGGCCAGGGAAGGGGAAGATTTCTAAGGGTTCTAGAAAAACAGTTTCCCCTAACTGCAATGAAATGGAAAGTGACCTCATGTCTGCAGGCACTGGGGCAGGTGGGGAGCCGACTGCAGTCTGGAGCACAGAGCCTTTGACTCCCCCATAAAGTGCCCTTTACTACTAATACCTTGCATTAATGTGGTGCATCTGAGTGACAATTGATGAACCAATATTAACATACCATTATCAACAAAAGCCCATAGTCTACATTAGAGTTCATCCTTTGTGTCTCATAGTTCTGTGAGCTCTGACAAATGAATAATGTCATGTATCCACATTACATTGTCATACAGACCAGTGCCACAGCCCCTAGAATCCCCTGTGCCCCACCGACTCATTCCTCCCTCTTTCCACTTGAACCCCTGGAAACCGCTGATGGCTTTCCTTGTTCTGAAGTCTGATCTGTCTGATATTAATATATCTACTCTTGCTTGCTTTCTGTTTTATAATTTTTCAATTACAGATAATTTCCAATAGTATTTTATATTAATTTCAGGTGTATATTCCTGAATTCTTAGCCTATATTTATATGTTATGTCTAACTCCCCCCAAAAGAATGCAAGAATCTTACTGGCAAGGACTTTTCCTCCTTGTTCATTCTAAGCATCTAGAATAAGTGCTCAATAAATACTTTGCTGAGTGAACGGATGCAAGAATAAATGCGCAAACTTCTGGAGGAAGTAAGAGATGAGATGTAGAAAGGTAGGCAATAATGGAGGGATGAGGACCCATATGTAATACCTTAATCAATAAAGAAATTTAAAAAAAGAAAAGAAAGGTAGGCAAGCTGGCAGAGGCTCAGAAGGGCCTCTGTTGGGAGGAAATTTCTGCCATGATGAAATAGTCTCTATTTCTGCTGTCCTAAAACAATAGCCGCTGGCCACAGGTGACTACCGAGCACTTAAAATGCGGTCAGTGGGACTGAGGAACTGAATATTAATTTTCTTTCATTTTAATTTGCATTAAGTAGTCACATGTGACTGGTGGCCATGGTATTAGAGAGTGAAGCTCTAGAACCTGAAGAATCCCTTCCCCCCAGGGTAACTTCAGGATAACTACACATAGTTCACATTGTGAATTGTTGAGAGGATTGATGCAATAAAAAGCCTTGTTAAGTGTCTAAGACAGACGTGGACCTCAAAAAAATTATAGCTGCTATTATTACAGCATTGCAAATTAAAGTACTTTCAAGTTCACACCACTTAAATTTGGCTCTAACGCGCTGGAAATAGGCTTTTAATAATTGTTATAGTCATTTTTTTGTTTGCTAGAGTTAGTGGATAACCAATGTGTAGGTCTGTCTATATTTGAGCTCACAAACTAAAAATAGCAAACAACCATTTAGGGATCTCAGGAAGGCCTTTTCAGTGATAAGTGACTATTCCAAGTGGACCCACTTGCTGATATTTCTAACGAGCTAATTAGCTTTGACAACAGCCAATTTAGCATTTGCAAAAACTGGATTTGTCACAATACTGTATTGCTTTCAAACAGTCTCCTGCAACTTCCCGAATGCTTTGGATAAGAGTGATGGTAGCTTTAATACTTACTATTAAAATAAAGGGACAAGTATTTTATTACCGGAAACATTATGAGGAACTCTTTAAAGCTTAAATTGATTTAGACATAAAACCATTTTTTTTCCTTGTCAGAGGCTCACCATTAACTCTTCCATACTGAATCTAGAATACAAAATTAACAGAGATATGTAGTATAAGCAGACCATTATAATGAACCCTTAGGAATAGTCTAACCTAATAATAAAATTACACACTTGTTCGAGATAAGCATGGGCATATGTTTAGGTGAAGAGAATGTGCAGACCTTCGAAGCGGACTTGGACATGGCATTTCACAGCTCCTGCCTAGGGGCTGGGGGGTACTCAGGTTGAATGAGGGCCTCAAGGTGCAGAGAAAAGTTGACATTCTTATTAAAGAGTCCAGTTAATCACTGGAAAACCACTTCCCCTTCCTTGAAAAAGTGCCCTGGGACATAATATAAATGAGACTGGAGTAGAAAGGCAATGGAAGTTCACTTTTCCAGGAAGGAGGAAGCCTTCCCAAACTGCCCCCCTGGCTTTGCTGTTTGAAATGCAGATCCCTCTGGCTCAGCCCCGCTGTGAGGCTGAGGGAGGTAGCAGAGCAAGAAGAGGGCGCAGACCCTACATCACTAAGATGAGATGTGGCGAATTAGACTTACCTATGGGCATCACCAAGAAAAAGGGCAGCCAGCAGAGGACGAAGCAGCCCACCACGATGCCCAGCGTCTTGGCGGCTTTCTTCTCCCGGGAAAACTTGAGGAGCCTCACGGAGAAGTGCGCTTTGTTCCTGGCGCTGGGCATGCCCCTGCCTCCTCCCACGGGGGCATTTTTCCGGTGGATGCGGAGCGTCACCTGCTCCGAGTCCGACTTGTCGGTCTTGAGGCCGGCCTTGAGGCCGCGGCTCTCCCTGCGGGCCACCACGTAGACGCGGCAGTACATGACCAGGATGATGGCGAGCGGCACGTAGAAGGAGCCCAGCGCCGAGAAGAGCACGTAGCCCGGCTCCTCGGTGATCTGGCAGATGGTCTCGTCCTCCGGGGCCGGCTGCCGCCAGCCGAACAGGGGCCCCACGGAGATGACCAGGGAGAGCGCCCAGACGCACAGCAGCGCCAGGAGACCCCTCTTCTGGGTGACGATGGTCGGGTAGCGCAGCGGGTAGCTCACGCCGATGTAGCGGTCGATGGAGATGATGCAGAGCCCCAGGATGGACGCCGTGCAGCACAGCACGTCCACGGCCGCCCAGATGCTGCAGAAGACCCTGCCGAAGGCCCAGTAGCCCAGCACCTCGAAGATGGCCGAGAAGGGCAGCACGGTGGACGTGAGCAGGAGGTCGGCCACGGCCAGGTTGACGATGTAGTAGTGCGTGACCGAGTGCAGGTGCCGGTGGCAGGCCACGGAGAGGATCACCAGGATGTTCCCCAGCACCCCGAAGAGGATGAGGCTCCCGAGGATCACCCCGAGCAGAATGGCCTTGGAAACGTTCACCTGGGCCGGCGGCGGGTGGGTGCCATTGGAGCTGTCGGAGGCATTCCCAGAGAGAAACAACATGGTCCTGGCCGGCCGGCCGGGCGGGCGAGGTCCGGCTCTCGACGGCCGCCCCCGGGCGGGGGCGGGGGCGGAGGAGGCGGGATCGAGGGCGCAGGGAGTCAGAAGGTCTGGGCTTCGGGGAGTCTTGCCCGCCGGGCTTGGCCGGAGGTGCCCGGGAGACCAGCGGCGATGGGAAGCGGCCCCAGCCCGCCCTGCAGACGCTCGGAAGGCCGCGCCGAGGGGCAGGGCATCAGAGGCGGCATGGCCGGGGCGCGCGGGGCTGTCCGCGGACGCCCTCCGCCCGCTGCTTCGGACCCAGGCCCCCCAGCTCCCTACCCATGGGAAGGAGGCTGGGCGCCAAGCTCCGGGGGGAGACAAGTTGCAAAATGCGGCCCCGGGATTATGCGAGTCCTCGGTTCTGCTCGGTCTGGTGCGTCCTGGCGAGACGATTCCGCATCCTGCACACCCTGTGGGATTCTAAAATCCGGCGCCAGTCTCCCCCGCCGCCCACCAGCGAGGAGCGGTCTGCCGTCGACTCTGAAAGGCGGGGACCGGTGACATCTGGACACGCAGTTCCCCGCGGTGCAGACCCGGCTCCCGGGCGGGCGGGGGACGCGGAGGCGCACGGTCAGCCGAGCCCCGGGCCGCCGGTCGGCGTCCTCCTGGAAGAGCGCAGAGAGACAGGCGGGAGTGAGGCCGGCGCGCGGGGATCGAGGGGATCGGGGTCCCGGTGGATCGAGGTCGTGCCGGGCTCCACGAGGAGGACGGGCTGGGAGCTGGGAGCGCGGCGGACTCTGCGGCACCGGAGGGCCCGCGGGAGGGGCTCCGAGCGCAGGGCCCCCGCCGCCGGGAGCCCGCCCCGCCGCGCTCCTCCGCGCCACCGCGGGGCTCACACCCGAAGCGAATGCACCCCAAACTGCAGCTCCGGCGGAATGAAAACCCCCGGAGCCCGAGGAGCTACTGCAGCTGGCGAGTGCGTCTCCCCAAACAGAGCATCCACCAGGCTGCCCCTGAACAGGTTGCTCCGCAGCCACCTGGGGGAGCGGGGAGGGGGGCGCTGCGTCCCGGGGACCGCAGTGCCGCGCGCGCTCGCGCCGGAGGAATTCGCACTCAGACGTGCAGAGCAGCCGCCGGGGTCTGTCCACCAGCCGAGCCGGCCTGGGAGTCCGGTCACGAGCAAAGCCGGATGGGTCCCCAGGGCTGAACGCGACCTAGGTCAGTCCAGGATCCCTTTCCAATCCGCAGGGTCAGCGGCACCGGGGAACAAGAGCCGAGACTCGAGCCACACCCAGGGGGGCTGCTGGGGTGCAGCGGGGAGAGGTGGGGGGATAGGGGTGAAGAGGCTTCGCAAGAGGCATGAAAACCAAGCCCGCACACCAGCGGACAGAGGACGTCCTGGACATTCTGGGGGCGGGGCGGGGTCAGGGTAGGAACCCCAGGTTCCCACAGCCGCCAGCCCACCGCGGGCATCAGGCAGGGGTGCGGGGAGGGGGGACCCATCTCGGCTTCTAAGGATTCTGGGATCGGGCGCTGAGGCGGGACCCCAGGCAAAGGCCACTGTGAAATCCCAAGTTGAAGAGCTCACAGGTGGTAATAAAAACAAGCAGCAGCAGAAACCCTTCCCCCCATGCACACCTCGGGGTCCTCAATGCGGGGTTTCCAACACACTTAGGAACTAGGAGGTGACTTCCCGGTGTCCATGCGGAAAGTGGGGCGGGTGGGGATACAGGTGTCAGAGCGGGTGGGAGATGCTGGAGGCGCGCGGGAAAGCGGGAGATCCGCTCCCGCTGAGGCCAGGCCGAGGTTCCATTGCCTTCACCCTCCCGGCCCCGCCGGACGCCCGCGCCCCTCTCCCCCCTTCCTCCCTCCTCCCTCCCTCCTTCCTTCCTCCCTCCTCTCTCCCTCCTACCTCCCTCCCTCCTCGCTCACCTGGAGCCCCGGCCGAGCCGCCTTGGCGCAACCGCGATCGGACGGGGTTTCTGTCCGGGAGCAGTCCTGCCGCCTCCTCTCTCGGGGAGGAGGGACCGGCTCTTCCAGGAACCAGTTCCCTGTCCTTCTGCCCCCGCTGCCTCACCCCTCCACCGCTGATGTCTTTCAGCGCCCAACTCGCTGTCCTTTACCTGGGGACTTTATTAAAATAAAGAGTGAAAATAGCAAAGAAAAAAAACCACAGCCGCTCGATAGCAGCACATTCACCCTTTTACTATTCAGCTTCCAGAAGCCAGCCAAAGAGCTGGCCAGGAACTTTGCGGATCTCGCTGACGTAACAAGGCAGTAGCCCCAGCGAGGAGCGATCTCCTGCGGTTCCCGGTTCCCCGGGCCTCTGCAGCCCAGGCACATGCGCACAGCCGTGTTTTTTTAAATCTTGCCTCATGTGGCGTGGATTCTCGCTTTTTGGGTGATGAGGACACAATGCAATATACAGATGATGCATGATAACATTGTACACTGGGAACGTATATGATTTGATTGACACTTGTGTTGAGGTCTGCTAAAATCAGGAAGAAGCATGTAGTTATGCCAAATAGGCAAGCAAATTATATTCTCTGAAGATGTTTTAAGATGCAAGTAAAATCAGAAAAAATTAAATAAACCTGTAATAAAATTGTAATCCCAGGAAGATAAAGTGAGCATATCTATAGATTTTAAAAAACAGTATAGTCTGGCGGGGTGGCTCAGAGATTGAGCATGGAGCCATGAACCCTGAACCCGGTTGGATTCCCAGTCAGGGCACACGCCTGGGCTCTGGGCTCTATCCTCAGTAGGCGGTATGTTTCTATCTCTCTCCCCCTCGCCCTTCCTCTCTGAAATCAATAAAAACATATTTAAAAATAAAAAATGAAAGCAGTATAGTTTCACTGTAGTTTATTACATAGGTTAGTGTTTTTGAAGTGCCACATACGTAATAATTTCCAGTTTTCATAAGAAAATAAATCCTTTAAAGGAGAGTTACTTCCCTTTAATTCTCTTGGATTTATTAATAGTTGGAGCATAAAAAGCTGGCATCACCAGACTTGTTTACTTTTTTTCTGGTAAATTCCATGTTCTGCTTACCTTACAACTGTGAATGAAGCTATAGAAGTTTTGTAACTATGGAAAAATGCTAACGTTTTCTGCATTCTGATTCCCACCTCCTATGTCATCTTTCATTTTCATCTATTCAGATAAGACACTATTTTCAAAAGATTTACTATGTTCCTTTAAACCTTAAAACTAATAGACAACTTTGTTATGCACTTGCATTCTTTCCCTTGAACATAAGTTTATTAATATGATTACCTTTTCTAAGGGAAATATTTGGAAGGCTCCCTCTTTTTTAGCCATTTATCGTACTTCAAAATGTCATGGGAGGATCAGGGGGCTCTGCTTCACTGAAGACCTAATATTTAGATTGAATATTATTTTATTTCTTTAATGCTATTTTAAAACATATACACAAATAGCTAGGTCATCCATAAACTGAATTTTGTATTGTGCAGGAAGTACACTGGGTGAGGAAGTTCACTCTCATTACCACATCACGTGCTGTCTCTCTGGGATTCAGTCCCCTCTGTTGGAGAAGGCTGGGCTGTAATGCTGTGTGACGCTTACATTTTTTTCATCAAATGTGCATATAATATCGTTCAGAAATCTCACCCATCAGAGGGCTATATTATGGTTTCATTTCATATTCATTAGCCTTCTACCATGAATTTGCGTGCCCTATTAATATCTGTTCCATAGCACATAAGGGAAATAGTGTTATTGACAAGAAAAGCGACTGTAAATTGCTCAGCTCTGCAAGGTCAGTATGTACAAAAGTCTCTGGAACTCCCAGTCCCCATCCGCAATGAACTAGTATGCTCACAAATCCTCTCCTGCTGTGGCAACTAACTAGCTAGTGCCAAGACTGGGAGGAGTGGCTCCTTAATTCTAGCCTAAATGCTAGCAAGCAAGCCTTTTAAGTTAGCTCTCAGCCTATAAACATCAATCTTTGAGAAATTAAGTCAAAAGTAACAATTTTCCCCTCAATAATCATAGACCCACAAACAGGAAACTATCCATTTATTGGGGATTAGTTGAGTAAAAAAATAAAAATAAATAGTAATAGTTGAGTAAAAAAATAAAAATAAATAGTACACAAAAATCACATTTGAAATAAAGTAAGGAGGCCAGGAAGGGGGGGGGGGGGGCTCTTATGTCCTACCATCATTGCCAAGCACAACAGGGAGAACTCTTTTTATTTATTTTATTTTATTGTTTGTTTAAATTTATTTTATTTTTTTAAATTTCTTTATTGATTAAGGTATCACATATTTGTCCTCAACCCCTCATTCCAATCCCCCACCCCTCCCCACTCATGCCCCCATTCCCCTATTGTCCTTGACCACTGGTTAGGCTCATATGTATGCACATAAGTCCTTTTGTTGATCTCTCCCTTTTATCCCCACCCTTCCTTTGAGGTCCAACAGTCTGACCCATGGCTCCTTATCTCTGGGTCTGTTCTTGTTCATCAGTCTATGTTGTTTACCATTTCCCCCAGATGAGTGAGATCATGTCCTACTGGAAATATAAGAATAAAAAATGAGATAAGCAATAATGGTTATGCTGAAAGGCATATGAATCAGTCAGTAGTGAGTTTCTTTCTGGCCCAACAGTTCTTTTGAGACCCAATTTCAATGTCAAACAGTTCCTTATGTGTACATATCAGCAATGATATTTCAGTTCTGGATGGTGAGCAAATGGTGGTAATACAGGTCCAACCCTCTCTGGTTTGGTCCTGGGCAACCTGCAGTGATACACAGCTGCTGTCTGCTAATATGGCAAGGTGTTGGCAGCGTCTTCCATCTCTGGACTGGTTCTCTTCTGTCTTCATGGTTGGAGTAGTCCTGTCTTTTTTTTGTTAAACCTCAACCGAGGATATTTTTCCCATTGATTTTTAAAGGGAGTGGAAGAGAGGTGAGAGACAGAGAGAGAAACATCGATGTGAGTGGGACACAATGATTGGTTGCCTCCCACATGTGCCCCAACCAGGGCCAGGGATCAAAACTGCAACC